CTCGTCGTCGACGTACGTGACCTCCCCAACAGGCACGGTGTGCGTTGGGAAGGCGCCGGGCTGGTGGGCCCATGGCGGGCCGCTGGGCTCGCATTCCGCAGCGAATGTGAGGTTGAGCTTGTCAAGCGCTGCTCGAAGCTCTCCCAAGGCCACGCTATACACAATATTGAAGATCAAAAGGCGCCGAAGCGGCAGCCTTGGCGGGATCCCTTCGTCGTCCGGATGACCCTGCCCTCTGGGGAGAGTGCGAACCATGTGTCTTTGTGCAGGTTGGCCACTAAGCTGATGAGGCGTTCGGGGACATCGATCTGCTGCAAGATGCCACCGTGCTGCATGAGGTAGTTGGCCAGATGCGAGGCTGCCGTGCCTTCAACCCCTACCTGCTCTAGTTGCGCGGCCAGGTCCGCCTCGGTGGTGGAGCCGGCTTCAAGGTGGAAGGCCATTTCGCGTACAAGTTTGTCGAACGCCTTCGTGAGGTCAAGGAACATAATGGCCGACGGCCTCTTCTCGATGGCGGTCCTCTCGACGAAGCTCGACACGACGTGGTGGCCACGGTTGGCCCCAGAGCACGCCACCCCACCGCACTGCTGCGGAGGTAGCGCTTCCTCCATTCGGCGCTGAACGGAAGGGTACAGGACACCTGTGAAGATTTTCGAAGTGTGATCGCCCACCAGGAGTCCACGGTACATGTCGCACTCTGCCATGTCGCCCTTTCCTTTGAAAAGTTTGGCTAACCGTCCCCCGCGCCATGCCACTGGGACGTCATTCGTCTGGATGACGTCTTCGATGATCTCCGCTATGTAGTCGGCTGCGAGGTCGCAGGCAGCCTTCCTCACCTCTATCGGCAGGCCGTCGGGGCCTACCGCCTTGTTGTCCTTGATGGTCTGAAGGAGTGGGCTCACTCTGTAACGCACGTCGCCCACCTCAGCGAAGGCGTCACGAACAAGTTGCGGATCGGGCTGCGGAGGAGGCGAAGGCTGCGGGACGTCCTGCTGCAGCTCGCCAATTAGGAGCTCTGCGAAGAAGGTCTCCCACCGCTCCTTTGCCTGCGCCTCAGAGACTGCGAACTCACCGTTGGCCAAGCGAGTGCCTGGCAACGTGGACGGAGAGAAACCTCCGAGTCGACGAACGATCGAGTAGGTCTTTCGGAGGTCTCCGGCTGCTGCCGCCTGGTCGGCCTCGCAAGCCAGGGTAGTCCACTGGTGCTCGCGATCAGCGACCAGCGCTTTGGCCTTCTCGGCTTGTGCGAGTCGCAACTGATGCAGTGATCGGGCTTCCGCAACTCGAGCGCTGTGAAGCTGGGCGTAATGTAGTCCATAACGGCGCTCGTCGTCCCGTGGTGCATTCGACGCGCTGTGCAATCTCCAGGCAGAGAAGCACGCACGCAGGCGCGCACTCCGGCAGTGCCAGCGAGCGTCGCGCAGGGCATCCTTCGATGTCCATGCGTGCTGCATGAGCTGCCACGCGTGCTGGCTAATCCAATGCTTGCGAGGTGCGTCACCATCTGCTGCAAAGATGTCCTGTACCAGCTCCGTCATGGTCAGGTTCAGCTGCTGCAATTTCTCGTGCGGGCGGCCCCGCAACGCGACATTATCCCTAAGCCGCTGCTGCAGTGCGAGTTGCAGATGTGGATCTTTCAGCTTGGCTCTGCAAATATTTGGGGTCTTTGCTTCACGGGGCCGGTGCCGCTTGTTGACGACCAGGGAAGCGCTGACTGGCCAGCGGTCGACGGAGGTGGCAAACCTCATGTCCATCTCCAAGTGCGTGTGCACGTCCCTGCCGGTGGGAGCAAGATCCTTAGGCACTATCAGATAGTCGATGCGGTGCTGGTGCCCAGAAGTCGCCTGCCATGTCGGTTGGTAATCCTGCCTCGTCGTGCTGACCACATCCATGTTGATCTCGGCCACTGTCTCACGCAGGCGCGTGCCCGACTCGCTCTCCTGGTCACGTGAAGAAGCCCCCGCGCCTGGTGAAGCGAAAGGGCCAAGCCAGGCATTGAAGTCACCCGCGATCACATAATTGACCCCTGCTGACTGCGATGCAATGAGGTCCTCCAGGCTGGCGAAGAAATTCTCCCTTTCCTCTGGCGGCGCCTGCTGCGTAGGCGCGTGCACGTTGACAAAAACAAGTCGCCGATGCTTGGCCGATGCCTGAAAATCAAGCGAAAGTGCGTGGATACGGTCAGTTACCTGCGTGACGAAGGAAGCCGACTTGGCCAGATGGTGCCGGACCCAGATCTGATTGTCTCGAGCGCGGCAGGGCCCACCAACAGGGAACACGTACATAGTGTAGTGCTCGCCTTTCAGGGTGGTTTGGCTGCTCATCCGCCCCTCCTGAACAGCCACGATGTCGAAACCAGCGCGGTGAAACATACATTCAAGCTCTGCCATGCGTCCAGTGCACGTCAAGCCCATTTGAGCGTGCACAGCCCGCAGGGCGGTGATGGGCCCTTCCGTAGTAACGTTGGCAGTGGCCACTTAAATTTGGGCATTTGTGCATCTAGCCGCCTTGTCAGAGGCAGCATTCGCAGCACCATGGGGGTCAGGCCCTCCCGAGCCCCCGGCTGCGTGAGCATCCCCTGGAGGCGCTATGGGGGGGTTGCCAGGGATGAGCCTGGAGCACCCACCTGGGGCGTCTCGACGATGTGCTTGCCGAGAAGACGCCTGCGGTTGCCCTTGCCCTCGGTCCACTGCGCGACCTCCGTCTGCCGCGTGCACTCCATAGAACCATCCTCCAGCGGCGGCAGCTGAAGCGGTGGCGTCTCGCTCATATCGTCGTCTTGCTCCTCCTCCCAACTGTCGTCCTGCTGCTGGTCCTCCTCCTCCTCCTCCTCCTCCTCCCAATTGTGCCCAGCCGTGTTGGCTGGCTGGCCAAGGAGGAGTAGCTGGTCGGCCAGGGCCGCCGGGTTGGTGAGGTTGCCTGCGCGGAGCTGCTGGGCAAAGTACTGCAGCTTGGAGGCGACCCATGGTGGCACAGTCGCCTCGGAAGTCTGCCGAAACCCCGATGGGGTGTGCGACAATTCCTTGATCAGCTCGGTCTCCATCGCACGCATCTCCTTCTGGCGCCGTTCCAGGAGGTCAGTCTCGTCGGTGATCCTCTTCTGGGCCTCCTTCAAAGCCAGCTGTGCCTTGAGGAGGCGCGCCTCGCCACGCTGGATCGCGCCTCGCAGGCCCTCGAACCGCTGGCCTAGGGGGCGTCCGTCGCGGAGGCGCTGCTTGACCTGCTCGGCCTTGTCCTGGAGGCCCTGCCAAATGTCGGGTGCGGCAGTCTCTCCCAGAGCTGCAATCGCAGACTCCAGCGATGTCAGCTGGGCCTGCAGGGCGGCACGATCCTCCTGCGCAGTCGCCCCAGCCTGCGAGGCCTCGGCAGCCGCTGGTGAGGTCGAGCTCGCGGACGAGAGCGTCGTGTTCATCTCGTCGTTGGCCTGGCGCCCCTTGCCGAGACGCCCCTTGCCGCTGTGCCGGGCTGCCGACGCGGCAGCGGTTCTGGGCTTCTTCCCCGGCGGGCATTCGCGGCACTGGGATCGCGTGTCCCAGTTGTGGAGGCCGCACAGCAAGCACTGCCACGTCATGACTGCAGACAGAAGTAAGGGCGGTGCAAAGGCGGATGTAAGGGAGGCCGAAAATCTGTGACACCAGGTCGGGCCTTTGGCGGTCCCTGGAGATGCCACGTGTCGCAAGAGAGGCTTTGGCGGTCCTTTTGGCTTGAGCCAAAATGGCTACGGTGATGACGATGATGATGATGATGATGATGATGATGATGATGATGATGATGATGATGATGATGATGATGATGATGATGATGATGATGATGATGATGCTGATGCTGATGATGATGATGATGATGCTGATGATGATGATGATGATGATGATGATGATGATGATGATGATGATGATGATGATGATGATGACGAGGCCGTGAGATATGTTGCCGATGTCGACGATGCGGCTGATGGTAACTTTCCTGGTTATGTTCACGGTACGGATGGTGTTCACTATGTTGGCGTGGATGATGACGTTGTTGATGATGATGGTGGCGGTGGTGATGCGGTTGATGATGACGCTGGTGACAATGCGGCGTGTTTGCGATGGACTGTATGGCTGACACTGTCGTGTTCGGAGGCGAGGTTGTTCCCCTTGTGGCCGCAGTTGGTCCCCGAACCCAGCAAAACCGCCTTTGCGTCTTCCTCCTCCTTTCTGCAGTCTGGGAGGATGGGGGGGGGGAATGATGAGTGATTTGGCCAGTGTAGACCGAATGTGTATCAATGGCGCTGCGATGTGTTTTTCCGTCCAAAGTCGCCCTTTCAGAAGTCCTTTCGCGCCCCCCTCCCTACTTGAAGAATTCCCCCCCTCCCCGTGGAGAACCAACATATCCGATGATCCTGCCATTCAGACGAGAGCCCCTTCAGGGACAACATTGTAATTGTTGTGCGCTCTTCCAGCGAGTAGCAAGGAATGCACAACAAGTCGGATCATGCAGCGTAGCAGGGTGTCCAGCGACATCCCCCTTTCGAACAAGGACCGCCCTTCCCGTGTCAGTCCTGCACCGGTATTCGCTGTTGGCGAGGAGCGTCGAGGAGGTTCCAAGCCAGATACGCATTTTGGAACGATGCCGACCTCCACCCGTGAGGTTTTTGCATTCGGTCAAGATTTTCCAGACCTCGCAAGCGAACGCGCATTTGTTACAATAATTGCCCTTCATCCTTCACGCCGTTTTATATGTCCAAGGTGTTGGCTTCAAGATTCATTTTTTTTGTTTGAAACACACACACACTTTGAAACAAAGCCGCCCACAATCCTTGTGGCCGTTGCAAACTTCGGGCTTTCGCGATCTTCAACGGTGGGGAAATCTCAGGCGGAACGCCTCGCCTGCCCTGCCGACACGTCTAGGGAAACGACACAGATGTTTTCATGTATGGCGATTTGGGTTCAAGCCCGTTGGATCCTACCAGCGCCAGGCTGCCGTGCCAGCCTGCCCGTTGTGGATCCCCTCATCTCTACATGCCTCTCGGCGTCAAAGCATCTGCTGGGGCCCCCAAGCGAAGGCACGGCGGCGGTCGCGGAGGACTCAGTGCGGGGCGTTCGCAAGAGGCCATGGCCAACCCGCTGTACTTCAAGACCACGCTCTGCAAGTTCTTCGTGCTCGGCGCCTGCGCCAGGAACGAGGACTGCAAGTTCGCGCACGGCCAGGACGAGCTCTCGGCGCTCCCGGACTTCACGAGGACGCGGCTCTGCCCCTCCGTTCTCGCCTCCCGCGCCTGCCAGGCCCGCGGCTGCGCCTTCGCGCACTCCCTGGCCGAACTCCGCCCGCGCGTCGACGGGCACCACGGCGGAACCGAGCAGGACCGTTTTTACATCCAGTGTCGATAACTGGCGTGGCCAGGGGGGGGGCGAAGGGGGGGAGGGGGCGGGTCACGTCACGATTCGCGCCAGCGCCGTTTGGGATTGCCTACGAGTGGCTAGGTTCCAGACGGCGCCAGCGCGAATTGTGACGTGACTGGAGTGGGGGGTCCGGAGCCGGTCACGGGCGTTGCAGACGGTTTTTCTTCGGACTCTGGCACGTTTATTCATTTGCGTGGAGTGGAGAGGGGGGGGGGGCGTGGCGAGGCCCGAAAGGACTTCTGGAATTCGCGCAAGTCGGGGCTCACTTGCACGCTTGCACGCCTCGCCGGCCAGGCGCTGCCTGCTTGAAAAGGCGGCGGCGGCGGGGGGGGCGAGGGGGGAACTGCCGTATGCAAGCAGACTTGCCCGAATCCAAAGGCGAACGCCCTCCTGCCGCGGATGTATATATATACACATACGTACACACGTACACACATACACACATACATACAACACACATACACACATACACACATACACACATACACACATACATACATACATACATACATACATACATACATACATACGTACGTACGTACGTACGTACGTAAGTACGTGCATGCATGCATGCATGCATGCATACATACATACATACATACGTACGTACGTACACACGTACGCACATACACACATACATACATACACACATACACACATAAATACATTTATATACATACATGCATACATGCATGCATACATACATACATACATACGTACGTACATACATATATATACACACATACAGACATACATACGTACACACGTACACACACATACATACATACACACACATACATACACACAAACATACATACATACGTACGTACGTACATACATACACACACATACATACATACATACATACATACATACATACATACATACATACATACATACATACATACATACATACAAGCAAACATGCATTCATGCATGCATGCATGCAGGCATACATACATACATCCATACATACATACATACATACATACACACGTACATACATATATATGTATGTGTATATATACATATTATATATACACATACATACATACATACATACATACATGCATGCATGCATGCATGCATGCATGCATGCATGCATGCATACATACATACATACATACATACATACATACATACATATAAATTTATCGGAGGAGGCCGCGGGAGGGCCTGGAACCAGCGCCATTGGTTTGCATGGCGGTCTAGGGGGGCCTTGAGGGCTCCAAGAGGGCCCAGAAGGGGCCTCGGATCCCCCGAGAGGCCCCCAAACTAGCCCAAGAGGCTCCCAGAGCGCCCGAGGTTGTCTGGAAGATGGCTGCAGAGCGCACTGACATGGCCTCAAGACGGCCCACGAGCGCTCGAAGACAGCCCGTGACTGCCCCTAGACTGATACAAAGGCATTAAAAAGCATCCAACAAGACCGCCGAGAAGGCCCCCCCCAAAGGCAACAATCAGGCATTTCCCATGGGAAAAAATAGATTTCCGGGATGTTCGTTTTTCAGTCCTAACAGCGGCCGCGACGGCCCAAGAGGCTCTCCAAATGGGCCCCAGACGGCCCGAGAGGCCCCCAAGTGGGCCCCAAGACGACCAGAAGAGTGCTTCAAGCAGCATAAGGGAGCTCCAAGACGGCCAAAGAGAGTCCCCAGGCCCGAGGGGGCCACAAAGGAATCCTACAAGGTCAGAGAGGGCCCCAAGAGGTCCCCAAGACGGGCCCAGCTCCCCATGACGGGCCAAGAGGGACCCGGAACGGCCGAAATCGGCCCTCAGACGGGCCGTGAAAGCACCAAAAGGGTTTCTCAAGACGGTCCAAGAGGCCACCGAGAAGGCCCCCCAAGGGCAAAAATCCATTGCTTCCCATGGAAAAGCGTACTTTTTGGGGAAATTCGCTTTTTCAGTCCTCACAGCGGCCACGTCGGCCCTAAAGCTTCCAGAATCTCCCCGACTGCCCCAGAGGCCCCCAAGAGGTCCGCAAGACGGCATGAAGAGTGCTTCAAGCAGCACAAGAGAGCTCCAAGACGGCCCAAGAGAGTCCCCAGGGGGCCCGAGGGGCCACCAGAGGATCCCTACATGGTCGGAGAGGGCTCCAAGAGGGCCCCAAGACGGGCTGAGCTCCCCATGACAGGCCAAGAGGGACCTACGCAGTACACATTCGCAGCCAGAGATGGGTTCGCCCTTCATTCCGTTGTAAACTTCAACGATGACGAACTCGATAACATGCTTGATCGTAATCTCTTTGATTTCGTAGTGGCCAGAAACCGTGGGGGCCAGCCGTTTACAGTGTACAGGAATGATGATTTGGTCTTCACGTGTCCACCATGGACACCGGCGTCGTGGGGGAAAGACGGCCCAAGAGGCTCCCAGGACCGCCCAAGGCGGCCGACGAGAGCGCCAACAGAGGCCCCGCGGGGGGATTTCGACGAACCCACACCCACATTCCGAGGCCTCCGCCCTCAGAGGACCCCGACGATCGCCAGCAGGCCCCCAGGCTGCCCAGAGGTTTCCCCAGAGACGCGAACAGGCATTCACGAAGTCTCACACCAGCGACCCAGGCTCGGTGGCAGGATGTGCAGAAGACCACCAGGAGGGGCACACGTGGACAATGGGTACGGATGCCCCTCCTGTTTGTGTATTCCTCCTGCTGTTCGTCTTCTCTTGCCCCTCCTTCCTGGTCTGCCCTCGTCTTCGCCGCCGCCATGCTCCTGGACTCTTCTCCCCTTTCTGGACCTCCAAACCGCTCCCCTTGTTCCATTCGTCGTCCTCCTGGAGTCCCCCGTGCTCGAAGAAGGGCTCTTCACTGCGTATTTCCGCAGCGCATTCGGGCTAGAGTCATAGCCGCCATCTCACTGCGAGCTAGGAGTCCAGAGAACCTGAGCGCGCGCGAAGCGTGCGCGATGGTTCTAGTGTATATGTGTGTATGCTTACATGTACAAGTACACATATGTATGCATACACACATATATATATATATGTAGGCAGATACGAAATAAAAAAGTAGCTCCAGGCGCCCGACGCCCCCGCGCCCCGTACGAGCTCGCGCCCGCCCAGCCCCGTGCAGGGTGCCGAGCGCACGGCGCAGCGGCGCTCGGGGCCCCTCCCCGCGCCGCTCCGTGCGCCGCCCCGGGCGCCGCCCAGGGCGCCGCAGCGCAGTCGGGCCCACAACGGCCCGCGCGCCTGCGGCGGCCCGCCGAGCGCCGAGGCGCCGGCGCCGTGGCAGGCCGGGGCGCAGGCTCTCGGGGGCCCCTGGTCGGGCGGGCTGTGTAGGACCCTGACCTTCCAGAGTGCCGGAAAAATGATGCTCCAAAGCCGAAAACCGATCTGGACTGCTTAAAAACCTCGACTGGAATTTGGTATCATGGTCCTGGTGCTATCATTCAATCGCTTCGCTCATTCCGCCGGCCCTTATTGGCGCACCTCTGTCGATTTGGGGGTGTATTCCTGAGGGGGTCGCAGTGACTGCGGATTTGGTTTCGGGGGTTCGTCGCAGATTCTGGCGCGGTTGTCCTGGGGCAATCGTGGGTGGTCACGGGTCTGGTCGGTGATTTATTTGTTTGTGTTGGTGAGGGGTTGATGATTCTGGTTGGTCGTTGTGGGGCCATGTTGCAGATCGGATGTATTTGTCGCAAGTTTGAGCCGTTCCGTTTTGGAGGGTGGCGGCTCGTGAATGCGACCGCAGGAACAGGAGGAGGAAGAGGCGGATGAGGAGGACGAGGAGCAGAGTGAAGAGGAGGAGGCGGAGGCGGAGGAGGAGGGAGGATGATGAGGAAGAGGAGGAGGAGGAGGGGGAAGGAGGAGGAGGAGGAAGATGATGAGGCGCAGGAGGAGATGAAGCCTCTTGAGCCGTCTTGGCGGTCTATTGGGCCGTCTTGGGGCCATATTGAGCGGCCTGGAGCCATGGTGGGGGCTCATCGGCCCCTCGTGGGGCCGTTTCCGAGCGTTCCTGGGCCCGTGTGGCCGCCTCTTGGGCCATCTCGGGAGCCGCCTTCGGCCATCGTGGGGCTGTGTGTTGGGCGGTCCTGGAGGCTCATTGGTCTTCCTTGGGGCGTGGGAAAGTCGAAAAGGCGAGAAGGCTGAAAACCTCCAATCGCCTGGTGAAAAATCATGAATTCCGCCTCTGGGACGCCTCTTGGAAGCCTCGAGGGGCGTGTTGGGGGCATCGAGGGCCATCGTGAGACAATGTTGGGCCGCTATGGGACGCTGTTGGCGTCTGGCCGTAGAGCATGCTATTTTTTTGTGGACTCATTGAGGCACTCCTGGACGGTTCCAGAGGCTCCGAGCCCCGCGCTCAAGAGATCCAGCATCTCTGACGGGGACGTGCCAGGAGAAGATTGGAGTACTTTCCGCTTTGTGACCCCCAGGAGCTGCCACGCGCGTGCGAATTAGAATGTTGTTATTTGTTAGTTCCTTGTTACTTTGATTTCCGCGTGCTCCTTGCCCGCCCTTCGTCCGTTCACATGTTTCGATGGCCACGATGCGCTCTGACCCCTCCTTCCTGGCACTCCGCTTCGGTGCACCCGACAGTTCCGAGTCTCACGTTGCTTCATGACGTGACCCCCAAAGGTTTGCACCCCTTCCCTCTTGGGAGCCTCTTGGGGTCCTCTTGGGGGTATTTTGGGAGCCTCTTGGAGGCCTCTTGGGCGCCTGTTGGGGCCTCCTTGGGCCTCCTGGGCGCCTCTTGGGGCCTTCTTGAAGCGCTCTTGGGAGCCTTGGGAGCACTCTTGGAGCCCTCCTGGGCCATCTTGGAACCATCTTGAAGCCTCGGATGGACATCGGAAGCGAAAAGGCGAGAAAGCCGAAAACATTAATTGTCCAGGTTTTGGAAGAATGTTCGCCTCTTCGGGGCCTCCTGGGGGAGCTCTTTGGCCACTTGGAGCCGTCTTGGAGCGGTCTTGGGGTTTGGTATCAAGGTCCTGGTGCTATTATTTGGCCCTCCTGGAAGGTCAGGGGGCGAGGACAAAAACCCGTTCTGCATGGGGGTGACACACATGGGGGGTGAAGAAGGAAGGCTCCAAACAGTACCCTTTTGTGGCACCCAATGGCTCCAAAAGGGGTCCCCAAGGACCTCTTCAGGACTCTCTTCTTCACCCCTCGTTTGGGTCACCCCCCATTACGACCCGCCCCATGGTCGGACGGGGCTATAGGACGAGGATCAATCCGTTCCAGAGCTTCCGGAAGGTTCTCAGAGCGTTCCAGAACGCTCTGAGAAGGACGCGGCGCCCGAGACGTCTTCCAGGGCCGCCGGGTCTCAGAGGTTTTCGATTTCTCCCCACCCGAGTTTTTCCCTCGTTCTGGCTTCTTCTTACATGGGGGGTGCCGTGAGCTGTTGGGAGTTTTCTGGCCCGCCTTTTCTTTTCGGGAGGGGGGTCCTGCCCCAGGCATGCTCGCGTCGTAACAAAACCAGGACGGGGGGTGTTTAACCTTTGTCGGCTTCTGGAGGCCCTCGCTGGACCCCGGGACCGTCGAAAAGCGATTCGGTATGAAAAACCGGCCCTGGGGAAGAGGTGGGAATTCTGGGGATGCCATGTTGAGAGCAGCAGGACGTCGCATGTCTGGGACCTCGGGAGACGTTCCAGCGGCTGCGCCTCGCCGAGAGCATGCTGGGGATGCCCGCACCGCCCCGAGCGGCCGCTGGAGGCCCGAGTCATGGCCCAGAAGCAGGGCGCTCGGAGGAGGGCCGGTGTGGTCAGTCGGTGGGGGTTCGGGGCCACCGCACGGTTTGGGGACTCGGCTCGCTCTCCGAGGACGTCTCGGGCGACAGGCCTCCAGGGTCCCAAGACCCTGAGGTGACGGGCCGTGCGGTGAGGTCGCTGGGGATGCCACGGTCGCCGCACGGTCCGTCTTCAGAGGCTCCTAGATGGGGTTCGAGTAAAAGGGATCGGAGGATCGCACCGCATCGGCGGTACGGCGACACATCGGCGCTACATCGCCGCATCGGCGATGCATCGGCGTCGGCGATGCATCGGCTCCGTCGTCGTGGAGAAGATCGGGATCCGCATCGAGCCGCATCGTCGTTGCCTTGGCGATGCGGCGCGATCCTCCGACCCCATCTGCTTCGCCCTCTCCTCGGAGGCCTGGAGTCTCGGGGCCCCGAGAGGCTCAGGCGCTGCTCATCACGGAGCACACGAGCGGGCTCTGGCTCTCGGACGGGGCGATGCCGGCCGCGGACGCGGGTGCGGGCAAGGGCGACCGCGCCGAGCCTCCGAGCACGCCGCCGAGCGGGCACACCGCGGGGGGCTGGTCGTGCGCCCGTGCGTCCAGGGGGCAGCTGTGCGAGGGCACGAGGCTGGGCGTGGAGTGCCAAGGCGAGGCAGTCCCTGGCCCAAAATGGAGGCCGTCCTTTGTTTGAACGTGGGGGTGTGACAAACGGGAGGGGGGGGGGGCGAATTCCGAGAGAAAATGATTTGTCGCCAGATAGGTAGCATGCGCATCTCAGATTTTGCACGGCATCAGCGGTCGCCTCCCCCCCTCTCGCATCAGCCACCCCCGCCTTCAAACCAACGAGGCTGGAGGTGAGGAACACCTTCATCACGATCGTCTTCCTCGGCGCGCCAGGGAGTTGCCGACCCTTCGGCCGTGCCCTCTCCTCCCCGGCGGCGCCGCGCCGTCGCTGAAGGTTTGGTAGTTTGCTCGTGGTGGTTGGAGGCCCCACGAGCTGCGCACGCGGAGGCTGTGTCGGAGGGGTGGCGGGGGGATGCGCGGAGGAGGGGTTTTGGCGGACGAAGGAAGCTACAGCACGCGGAAGAGGGGTCGGGCTGCACAGAGACAGCCCCCCATAATTAGTCAAGCACGGGGTCGTCTGCGCCGACATTGGCGTGCAGGCTGCCCGCGTAAGGTCGCACGTAAGGCGTAAGCGCCCTCGCTTCAAATGCGGCGTGCCGCGCGGGCGGCCCGCGTAAGCCACCGCGTAAGACCGCTATGCCACCCTGCGTAAGACCGGTTTTTGATCGTCGCTCAGATGGGCCCGTGATAGAGACCCTAATCAGTGTGTGATGCTGCGCTGCATGCGTGCTCGTGTCTCACCTGGTCACCGCTATCTGGCCTTTGGAGGTTTTGCTGTGACTCGTCTGTTTGCGTAGACATTCGCTGGCTTGAATATTTTTTTGTGGTGCCTTGGAATATCAGTGTTCTATATCGAAGAGAGATTTCCATACACCTCCACCTCCCGACACCATTTTTGTTTTTTTTTTTTTTTTGAAAAAATAGATTCGTTTTTTGTTCAATGGTGTTTGGGGCAGTTCGCCACATCCTCTTCGTCATAAAGGAGGAGGAGGTTAAGGAGGAGGAGGAGGAGGAGGAGGAGGAGGAGGTGAAGAAGGAGGAGGAGGAGAGGATTCGCGCAGGGTTGCACCCCCCCCCCCGCCTTCACGACACGATAGCGAGAGTTCCGTCAGGAGCGGAGAAGAATAGTAGGAGGGGGAGGGGAGGGCGATGAGGAGAAGGAGGACGCGAAGGAGGAGGAGGAATGATGAGGAACATGTAGTTGTCCCACAGCCTCTTTGGCTTTCTCAGAGAGCTTTCGGCGCGTTTCTCCTCCCTTCTCTTGGGTTCCGCGCCATGGTCGCCCGTTGCTCGGCGAAGTCTGCTGGCTCTCAGAGGTCAGGAGGCACCGTGCGGTTCAACGCTGCCTTCGTCAAGGCCTCCAAGGCTGAGGACGTCGAGCGGTTGATGACATTCGCCAGCGAGGTCGTCGAGTGGATGAACGAGGACCCTCAGCAGTTCGTTAACTTTTTGTACGAGAAGGGCCTGAAAAAGAAGAAGGAGCTTGACAAGCAGGTCGTGGCGGACACGGCGAGCGACAAGCTCCTCAAGGATTGGGCGCAGAAACCGCTTACATACATCCGCCCCTCGAGGCTCGAGGAGTGGGCGGGATAGTGGCGGACGGAGGTCGGTGAGGGGCAGGGGTGGAAGGAGCGGGAGGGGGGCGGGAGGGGCAGGATGTGTGTCGTGGTGTCTGCGCCCCGAGGAGCCCCCCAAAAACCTTGGAGGCGTCGACGAGGAGGTGCTGACCAACTTCGTGCTTCGGGTCTCCGACCTGTCCCTGGAGCAGCTGAAGATCGCCAAAAAGATCGATCCGAAGGTCGTGTATCGCTTGACGGCGCAGGCGACCAGGATACCTTTGAATATGCCGTTGGAGTCGGAGTTCCAGTTCGTCGATCTCCTCAACACTGTCTTGGATGCTTCGGATGTCGCCGCCAGCCATCCCATCAAGCGCCGCAGCGCGCAGCTGACGCCCGAGGGTGGGGTCGACTGGCACTTGGGCGCCTACCAGGTCATGACGAAGGGTCAGTGGGTTACGAGTATCACCCACACGATGACGAAGTTCGAGATCCCGATCAGCGAGGGCCTCATCTTGGCGACGTCGAAGCTCGCTTTCAACTGGAACGATCGGGCCGCCAAGTTCATCAGGAAGCCGCTGCCCCCCATCACCATCTCGACCTTGTTCAAGAAGAAACCAGCTGAAGGCCCTTGGAAGTCAGGTGATGTGTCGGAGAAGTCCGAGAGTTGGTTGGAGCTCGTGCAGAACGCGAAGAAGACTTGGGAGGCTGGTCGGAAGACCGCGCTGGACAACGCCCAGCAGCAGAGCCTCGTGAGCCAGGCGCTGAGCCAGGTGAACACGGACTTGAAGAGGAAGGCGATGACGGAGGCCAGGGAGCGTGCCCAGCAGGCTATGTTGACCAAGGCCGCGAAGAAGGACCCCTCGATGGTGTCGCTTGCGAGTGCGTCGTCGTCGTCGGGGGCAGCCGCTGCAACGAAGTGACTGCCGGCCTAGATTCGAGGGGATGCCCGCATTGGCATGCCCGAGCGCGGCTCGTGCTTCGTAGCTGCCGCGCGTTGTTTTCATTGCTCCGCCTCTTGTGCTGTCCAGTGCGATTGTGCCCGATGGGTTTGCTCAGTTTCGATACTAGGGTATCTTCTGAATGCGGTGGCTAATGCACTGGCCCCAGATGCACTTTAGGGGCTCACCTCCGCTCTAGGTGTCGCAGGGGTGATCTCGTGGATGCGCAGCGTCTGCACTTCATCTGCGATAGCGTTGAGGTTTCGTTGGGAAGATGGAGAGACCCGTCAACGTACTTGTCTCGGCTAGCTCAGGCGAAAGGTTGATTCGATCAGTAAGCATGTGAGCGAATGTTGAGGCCAAGGCGTGGGATGAGGAAGTCAAGGCGTGGCGGAGGAGGAGAGGGGTGGGAAGTACGACGGGGTGCAAGCTATCCCGCGAGTGGGGGAGGGGGAGGAGGGAGGGAGGGACGGGCGATTCACAGTGGAGGGCGGGGTGAGAGGGGATACAGACGACGGCGGTGACAACCGCTGGCGGCGACGAGGGCGGCGACGACGGCGACGGCAAGGCTATGGGCCGATGTTGGCACTATAGTGCCAACATCGGTCCACCTCGAGGGGCGCGTGAGCAATCTCGGCACCTCTCGCCGCCAACGCCTGATCTCCTTCCAATGTTATTGGGCCACCCCGCTCTTCCGTGTCCCGTCGTCGCGTCCCCCTCGCCCCCCCGCCCCGCTCCGCCGAGCCCTTGGCGCCGCGCCTTCGACTATCTCGGCGGCTCCGCTGCTTTCCAGGGGGGCGGGTCTGCGGGGGGATTGGGCTGGAGGTAAAGGAGGCAGAAGGGAGAAGAGGAGGAGGAGACGGGGGGTGGAGAGGCTGGGAGAAACACTTGTCGAGAGCACGTCGTTTGTTCACTGGCGAAGCGCGGGCCTCAAGAGGGCCCCCCAGGGGGGCCCAAACCGTGATGCACGTAGGCACCGCAAAGTGCAGCAAGATTTGGTGCGTGGAAAGATGGGGGAGAGAGAACCACGCTCGCTTTCTAGAAACGTGAGTGGGTGACTCGATCGATACACCACCCGACGATCGCAGAGCTCAATAGGTGTTTCGACGGGGCGCGACGAGCAGGTCGGACGACATTTCGGGGTGGTTTGCTCGCAGACGAAGCTCGAGCCTACAGAGGGGCCCTCGGGGGGCCCAGATCTTGTTGCACTTAGCCACCGCTAGGTGCAGCAAGGTGTGCTGTCTGCGTTTACGTGGTTTCCTTGGGCCCATCGCGAAAGCTGGACATCCGCCTGACCTGCTCCTCATCGCCTTCGACTTCCCCCATCTGTAGCCTTTTTTGGCTGAAGCTTCGACGTTTCTTGGGTCGGGCGTGTCACGCGCCTTCGCGCGTCAACCATCCTCAGCTCCGTCAGTGCGAGTTGCCTCGACCATGGCTGCTGCGTCGGCCGACGCAGACGGCCCGGTGAAGATCGACCCAGGGAAGCAGATGGTGCGCAAAGGCGACCCGACCGAACCGACGTACACACTGGCCCCGTTGGCTGACGTGCTGAAGGTTGACAGGGTCGGCAATCACAGCTACGTGGTGACCAATATGATTACTGGCGAGACTTCTCTCGTGGAGCCGTTCTTGGAGTGCGAGCTCGTCACCGTCGGCTGCGATTGCGCGCTGGCCTTGGTGACAATGGATGGCGATGCTGACGTGAAGGATCTCGACGCCCTCTTCAAGTATGCGGTCTATGTGGACGAGAGCGGCCACTACAACATAAGCACGTCCAGGACTACCAAGCATGCGCCCAAGGAGTTCGTCAACTGGCACTACCTGCGGATGAAGTTCAGGAGGGGTCGCAGCCTTATCCCGCTCTCGTACGTCGGCGCCTCCGTGGACATCGCGACCTGCACGATGAAGAGGCCTCGCGAAGGCAATCAGCAAATATGGTGGCAACTTTCAGCGGTCCACAGCATTCTGAAGGTTGCCAGTTTCAGGAAGGTGTTCAGCCAGTGGTTCCAGAGGCTCCACCAGTCGTGGACCACCGACTTCGTGCGTTACATCGGCCCCAGCGGGAAGGGCCTGATCATCCAGGCCTCTTACGGCACGGACGACACGTCGAATAGGAAGTCTAAGCTGTTGCCAGACATGCGGTGCCTACCGTTCGCTTGTGCCTCCACCGCAGGACTCCTCATGATGCTGCACAGGATCGGAACCACTATGCCGAAGGGCGGGGAGAATACCGTCATCACGCAGAAGTGCGCAAACACGCTTGCCGAATCGCTCGCGGGGTTGACCAAGAGACAGCCGTGGAATATTGCATTGGAGTTGGACGACGAGTGGGTGTGCACGTGGCCTCGCCCTCGAGTGAAGCCCGATGGCGTCTCGGCCATCCAGATCACCTGCATCGGCGGCCTCGCGGACCTGTCCCAGCTCCTCGCCGCGGGGGAGCGCGATGGCCCAGCCAGGAGGTGGTGGGCAGTGCTGAAGTACATTATCACTGGCGAGTCGGCGCAGATCAACGTGGACGAGCTCTTGAAGGCTGCATGCGGCAAGACTGCCTTGAGGAGCCTGCACGGCCAGGTCGTCCTCGCGATGTCTTGGGACATCGAGAGGGTCTGTTTGAAGCAATCTCATGGCGACGCCCCCAACGGACCCGATGGCTTCGATTTCAAGTACCCCAAACCCTCGGACATCATCGACGCCGAAGGGTTCGACAGCTTCCTGTGCCAGTACACGGTGTGCGCCAAATCGGTGTATTAGACTGTTGGGGCGGGCCACCTTTGCTTCACGCTTGCCACAGACAAGGCGACGCCGTGCAACCTGCCACTCCAGAACAGCGCTGTCGCTCTCGCGGACAACCAGGCTTGGATCTGCCCGCCCCAGGTGGGGGAAGGGGGTTGGGAAGGCGATGGGGGAGGCGGGAGGGCGAGGGGGGCGGTGGAGGAGGAGCACGGGGAAGGTGGAGATGGGGAGTCAGCCGTCACTGTCCACCCGGGTGGTGGTGTACACTTTTTCGTTCCCATGGGGCGAAAAAAGTGTACACCAGCACCGCCCGCGCGGGCGGGGTTGCCCCCCTGTGGCCCCCGCTTCGGCGCCCGCCCCCGCTGCAGGCTCAGCGGGGACGGGGGGGGGGGGGCTGGCCATTGATTGGCCTGCAGCGTCTCAGAGGCCTCGATCGGTGGAAATCCGCTTTTCGGCCCCTCACCCTGGGTGTTACTGTTGGAGGGGGTCTCCAGGCTCAGATTTGCGCATGCAGCCCTCGATTTCGTTACTCCCCGAAGGTGGACCAGAGCTTCGACGGCGAGGGCGCCGCCCCCGACGCTGTCGGCGTGAACCCGAAGAAGAGGCAGGCTGACACACCGACTTGGGCCAGGCGCAATTCCGAACAGATTGGGTGGCTGACCAAATACACGGGCGGGGAGCGAGAGACCTTCAAGCCGAGAAAGTTGCACAGAGTGGCGGCCAAGCATTGGTTGGACAACACCGACAACCAGTTGAGGTGGGCCACTGCAGCATCGGGGTGGAGCTCGTTCCTGCCCGTCGAAGGTGGCGACTGGTCCGACTGGCGGACGACCCCCCACCTGACAGTGGCAATCGACTTGGGCGGGGACGGCCTCAGCGCGATGAACCTTCTCGAGTATGGGCCCAAGGAGTTCAAGTGTTGTGTCGACAAGTTTTGCGACCCTGCCCATGGTGGCAACCGCTCTGTGGTGTGCATGCTGCACGACGTGAAGCTCTGGGGGTTCATGCTGGCTATGTTGTGCTCGTGGAACCTCCCGTTCGGGCCGAACCCCGATGAGAGAAAGCGCTACAAGGAGCTGAGGGAAGCCATGGCGGACTTCGTCAACAGCAAGGGTGCCAAGTCTTCACCGCTGTTCTTGAGCAAGGCCCCGGGACTTCGGAAGTGCTACGAGAGGCAGGGCCACAAGTTCGACGATTCGCGAGACATCGAGGACCAACTTCTGGAACTTCTGTCCGCGCGTGCAGGCCACGTGCCGACTGGCATGCGGACTAACCTCAATCGCTTCCAGGGCGCCACTGCTTGCGCCCTCAAGAATGTACCGAATTGGGAGGTAGATGAGTTCGAGCGCACGTGCCTGGCGCTGCACAACGGCTGGCTCACGACGAAAGCATTATTGAATAAGTTTCGCGTCAAACCAGGGCCCGCCCAGATCGTCGAAGAGCACGGTGGTGCCACGACGGAGAAAAGAATTACTTTGGAGACGAGGTCTGCGTTGAAAGGGGCGACTGTCAATTGCGTGGCCCTCTCGGTCGTCCCCTTGAGCGACCCCGTCAGCCACCGCATCTGCAGCGGCTTCGCTGGTTTGGGCAAGCACGTCAAGGACTGGCACACAGAGGGGAACAAGATCGGGCGATCCGCCAAGGGCACGTTCGATTGGATCGTTCGCCAGGCGGGCGGGGAGTTCTTGACGCACGTGGCAGGCCTCGTGGCTACTGGGCAGGACGCACGCTTCCTTCAGGAGTGCGACTTCGCATGCTCTGAAGCCGACGCCCAGGAGCTCGACGCAAATGACGTTGCCATGGAGGACGAGGCCGCGATGATGATCACGGACATGCAGTGGTGTTTGGTCAAGCACCGCTTGAGCCGAGGGTTGCACATGACGCTTGGGTGGCCGTGGCGAATGGTTGGCATCCACAGCGACGGGCCTGGACTTGCCGACCAGATCCTCCAGAAGTTCAAGGTCGACATGGAGGCCCACGAAGCGCTGACAAAGTACCTCCCCATGTCAGCCGCAGTGAAGCAGGTCGTTGACAGGCACTTGTTTGGGAAGATCAGCAACCAAGTGCTCCAGCGCGCCTGTCTCGACCCAGCGGTGAACTTCAGTCCCCATGCAGAGTTGAAATCGTTGCTTCAAAGGTGGGCCTCTGGTCTCCTGATGACCCAGATTGTTGAGGACATTAACGGCGCACAGAAGAACAACAGGCAAGTTATGTCGGCTGCTCGGTTCAGGAAGCCAGGGAAGAGCATGGCAGTTGCCCTTGGTTCTGGGATTCTCGAGGAGCGCCACGACTTCGACCTCCTGATGCCCGAGCACGTCTACGTGGCCAAGAGCGCCAGGCTTCCAGCGGAGGCGTTCAGGCCTTCGCCAGCGACCCGCAGCCTTAAGTTCGAGAGGTTGGTCTCCACGACTCCCTCGGTCCCTTGGCACAGCCCAAGTGCCATCAACGTCCATGCCAACATGGCCGACCTCGTCTGCATTCGGACCATCCACGGCTCCGACAAGAACTTCGGCCGCATGGAAAACGCTTGGCACGGGCAGCTAGTTTCTTGGAAGCATCACTTTGTATTCCGATTCAGCGGTAAGGACCAGTGGCACTACGGAGTCGATTGGATGGACAAGTCTGCTGCAGTCAGTTGGCCTTGTACCAAGCATACGGTCCAGACGTGCAATTATTTCGAGCCCAAGCAGGCCGTCTGCAACGCGGAGGAGACGCTCCACTTCATCGACGACTTCCGCCAGATCGTCGCCCAGGAGGTGCAATGGAGATCCCCTGCCAGCCAGATCTTGTCGTTCAAAGGTACCTTTGTCGAGAAGCACCTCGCCTTTCGGTCATTCCAGGTGGGAGAAGAAATGCCTCTCATCGAACTCGCCGCGAGGAAGGCATTCCGGGAGCTTCCGAGAACCAACGTGCAGAAGTTCGGCGAGGCCCTGGGCTTGGACATGAAGGCTACCCCTACTTTGTTCCTCACGCTCTGGACTGTCGTCAAGCACGTGCTGGCATGCTCGGACGCGGACTGCTACGACATCATCTCACAGAGGCTCGCCTGGAACAATGACGATGCTGCACACGCTTCGGAGCTCCTGGAGATGGAGGAGGCCGTTGAGCTGTTGGCTCAACCAGACCAGAAGGTTGTCGAGCAGGCCCAGAAGGACCTCGTGAGCTCCGCCGTGAACCACGTGGCCTTCTCGACCGAGTACAAGAAGAACCGCCAGGAGCACGTTGCAGCGGTCGCTGCAGCCAAGCCCAAAGCGAAAGGTAAGGCCAAGGCCAAAGCCGCTGGAGCTGGCGGCGATTGCGGCCCCACGAAGTTGCCCAGCACGGTGCCTCAGGCTGCCGCGAAGCTCTGGATCCCACCGAACTCTTCGATCTGGAGGCCCCTTGGGAGGGGCGCCTGGTGCGCCCACGTGCAGCCTTTCAAGCGCATCTCCACTCCTTGGGAGCTCTACGGTGACGACAACATGGCTTTGACGGACGTCTTGGTACGGATGTGGGCGCTGCACTTCGAGCGCACGGGAGATCCAATCACGTCGTGCTCTTTTGATTTTGCCGAGGCGAAAGAGCGCTGCGATAATTTCAGGCTTGGCGGTGGTGCAGACGGCGCCGCCGCTGCTAGCAGTGCTGGTAGTTAGGTGCACCTGGGATCGGCGCGCGGATGCGCAGTCGGTTGTGAAGTGAAGGCTTGAATTCGCCAGCGAGTGGAATAGGGAATGGAGGAGAGGACATCAATGACACGGAAGGGAGCGAGATCGATCTGTAGGAATGCATGCAGGTAGGGTGGAGGGGTGGAGGGAGGAGTAGGGGAATGAGGACTGGCGAGACAACGTTGAGGAAACATCGTCAGCTCACAAACGCAATTATAGTTTTCAGAAGGGCCCCAGGGGGCCCAAGTCTAGCTGCACTTAGACACGGCTAAGCGCAACAAGTTTTACTGTGTAGCACAGAGGGGGGGAGAGAAGAACGCTCGCTTTTTAGAAACGCATGTAGGTGACTCGCTCGAGCATGTAGCCAACGATCGCAGAGCTCAGAAGGTGTTGCGACGGGGCGCGACAAGCAGGTCGGACGCCATCTCGGGGTGTTTGGGAGCCGACCCGCTGCCTTCGCACCAGTAGGGCAGGCCCTCAGGCTTGCCGAGCCCATTCCACGAGACACGCTTTGCTCCCCTTTTCTCCTCGAAACCCTCATCAACGGTTTCCCATGTCCCAACTGGCACTCTCTCTATCTCACCCTCTCCCCCATGTCCCCTTCTATTTTTTCGCTGGCCGTCTCCTGGTGTCGTTGAATGGCATGGGCGCCGTGCTTGTGTTGCCGAGCTCGAGTGCGAATTGAAGCGCCAGACGGGCGTCGCGTCAACTCTAACCACGCAGCGCTTGACAGGAAATGAAAACATGTTTCGTCGGCGATTGCAGGCAGTTGATGGGAGTCCGATGTCACTGGGGGAGGGTCGAATCGGCGCGCGCGCGATGGCACGCGTGTCGCACACGAGCACAGCGTTCATTGGGTTGCATCGTGCGCGCGTGTTTCGCGCGCTTGCATGCTGCGCGCATGTCCCTCCCATCCTCCGTCCGCACCTGCCCCCATCCACCTGTTTCCCTTCATCGATCTCCTCTCCTTCCCCTCGCTTCACACCGCTACCTCTCCGCTTCCTCCTCCTCCTCCCCCAACCTCGTCTTCTCCCTTCCACCCCCCCCCTCTTCCTCCACCCCCCCCTCCCTCACCGCCCCGCCGCCCCTTCCTTCCCTCCCTTCCCCTCCTTTCCCTCCCTCATTCCCTCTCCTCCTCCTGGCGTCGGCTCAAGGCGCGGCTCGAGGCGTGCGCCCGCGCGCGCCGCTGCTCCACGTAGTGTGGCGAAGGCTCAGTCTGGACAGTCAGCGCAGTGAGATCCCCCAAACCCCACGGAAGGGCATGTGTATAGAAATCGGGCTCCCACTATACCAGGTAGTTTCGCTAAACAGTATGGCCAGGAAGTCCCCAGGCCGCGCTTCGTACCTCTTTGCGCCATCTCGTCGAGTTCGCCTGCAAGCAGTTAAGCTGTGATTTTGACGTCTGCGGCTAGGTCAGGAGGTGATACACCGTTGGCCCTTGACTATATGTTGCACGCTCAATTCTCCGGCCCCTCTTCTCGAAGAACAAAGCAACTTCTGAGGTTCGCGCGGATTTCTCAGGTCGGCGTTGGACGCTCCCTGGTGGCGCCTCCTGCGCCTCTCCTGGCGTGGCGCTCCAGGGAAGGGGCGTCCTGCGCCGACGCAAGAATTCCGCGCGGACCTCCGACGGGTCATCCGAAAGGGCGTCGCCCCCTCCCGCCGACCCCCTTGCTATCAGAACGGGATGCATAAGAGCTAGATTCGGAGGTCTTGGCGCCGTCTTGAAGACATTCTGATGCTGACTCTGACGGTGATGCTGATGATGTTGATATTGGCTTCGATGATGATGGTGATGGATCTCTTGATCATGATGATGATGCTGCGGGCGATGGCGCTGGCGCTGGTGCTGGCGCTGGTGCTGATGCTGGTACGGGTGATGATAACGGCGTTGCTGCTGATGATGATGATGATGTTGATGTTGATGTTGATGGTGATGCTGATGATGGTGATGATGATGATGCTGATGACGATGATGATGCTGATGATGAGGAGGATGCTGATGATGACAATCGATGGTAATGACGATGATCATGTTGATGATTATGACGAGGATGATGATGTTGATGCTGATGATGCTGATGTTGATGGTGATGGCGACGAGGATGCTGATGCTGAGGATCGCGGATGATGCTGATGCTGAGGACTACGAGGATGTTGGCCATGATGATGATGAACCTGATCATGATGATGATGATGGTGATGATGATGCTTGGGCTGACGATGATGACGATTATGATAATGGTGATGATGATGATAATAAGGATGATGATGATGATGATAATGATGATGATGATGATGATTATGATGATGATGATGATGATGATGTATATATTGATGATGATGGTGATGATTATGTTGGCGCTGCTGTTGCTGATGAGTACGTTGATGATTGTGATGGTAATGGTGATGGTGATGATGGCGATGATGGCGATGATGATGATGATGATGATGATGATGATGATGATGTTAATGATGGGGATGATGTTCGCATTGCATGACATCGACGAGCTGTGTAAGAATCTGCAGGACCATGGGCCAATGGGGAGAATATGGGACCATGAGGAGGATGATGATGATGATGAGCAGGAGGAGGAGGAGGAGAAGGAGGAGGAGGAGGAGGAGGAGGAGGAGGAGGAGAGGAGGAGAAGAGGATGAAAACGAGGAGGAGGAGGACGAGGAGGAGGAAAAGGAGCAGGAGGCGGAGGAGGAGGAAGAGGAGGAGGAGGAGAAAGGAGGATGCGCGAGCAGCAGCAGCGTAATTTACAAGGGGGCTTGGCCTCGGGGGCGAGAGCGTGGCGTAATGTACTAAGGATCGTGTCCTCGGGGACGCGACTATGGTGTAACTTGCAAGAGATTATGGCCTCGGCAACGTGCATGCCGTATAATTTACAGGGGGGCGTAGCTTCGAGGACGCGATTGTGGTGTGATTTCAAAGGAGTCGTGGTCTCGGGGATGCGAAATTTACCGGAGATCGTGGCCTCTAGGACGCCAACATTGCGTCGTTTACTAAAGTCATGACCTCGAACATACACATATCTATAACTTCATACGGAATAATTGCCCCAGGGACGCGAGCGTCGCTTTTAGGAGGGTGCATGGCTTGGGGCCAAAGGCAAACATCAAGCATTTCCCATGGGAAAGCGTATATTTCTGCGAGCTTCGCTTTTCATTTCTACCAGCGGTCGCGACGGCCCAAGAGGTTACCAAAAATGCGCCCCAGACGGCCCCAGAGGCCCCAAAGAGGGTCCCAAGATGGGCTGAAGAGAGCATCAAGCGGCACAGAAGAGCTACAGAAGACGGCCCACGAGAGCCCCTAGGAAGCCCGAGGGGGCCACCAGAGGCTTCCTACATGGTCGGAGAGGGCCCCAGAAGGACCCCAAGACGGGCTGAGCTCCCCACGACGAGCCACGAAGGACCCGGAACGGCCGAAATGGGCCCTCAGACGGGCCGAAAAAGGCCCGAAAGGATTCCACAGGAAGGCCTGGAGAGGCTCAAGATACTGCCACAATGCTTCCCCAAAGGCTCCCGGCACGCGTTCCAGTAAGCACCCGTGTACGCACTGAGAAAAGCGAGAGGAGGAGGATGACAAGGAGGAGGAGGAGGAGCCAGAAGAGGAGGAGGAGGAGGAGCAGCAGGAGGAGGTCCGTAGCCATTTTGGCTCAAGGCTAAACGTAACGAAAGTTCGGGGAACCGAGGTGTTGCGATTAGCTTTGGACCCATCCGTAGCGATTTCTCGAATCGCTTGGGGCTTGCCTGCGGCACACCTTCCAGATCTCTCATCCTGTGCGCCACCAGTGCTCTCTCCGAGCCATGGGCGATGGCGTTCGCACCATCCCGAGCCAGATGCAGATGGCCACAGACATCGACCTCGACGACATCCCGACCTTCCCGCCGTCGCAAGTGGGCGCTGGTGGGTCTTCGCAAGTGGCTGCTCCTGTCCGTGGCGCTGCCCCTCCTGGTGCTGAGTTGGGTGGTGGTGGCCAAGGAGTGCAAAGTGGTATCAACAAGCGTCGCGCTGGCCCTCCACCCGCTGGTGACGCTGACTTCGAGATCGTCCACGCCGCCAACCTCCAGGACTCCATCGAGGCCTTGCGTGCGGAGCTGCTCGAGCAGGTCACGAACACGACGTCCGCGCTCAACTCCAGTCTTCAAGGATTGGCCACCAGAGTGCAAACTATATGCTCGGCGATGGCATCGCAGGTCGAACAACGTCTCAATGGAGTGGGGACTATTCAACGCGGTCACACCAAGCAGCTCCAGGTTCTTCATGAAGAGGTCAAACAACTCAAGCGCGAGCCCAACGTGGCCAAGGAGACCCCCAGTGAGTTGCCCACGGTCTTCCCGAAGTTGTCCCTGGACTCGGCGTTCAACCGCGCCATCGACGCGTCCATCATCGTGGTCCGCTGCAAGGAGCAGACTGCGAAACATCAAGTTCAAGGAGCCCTTCTTCCGTGGCTGGAGCGTCTCAACATCGAGTCGTCCGAGTGGGAGCTCCAGGGGGGGCCGTCGGACAAGAGGTTCACGATCAAGTTCAAGGGTAGTTCTCAGTTCGCCGCCCGCCGTGCACAGCATGCGCTCAGCCTGTTGCGCCCGCAGCGTCCTGGTGAAGAGTGGATGCGCTTTTTTGCTCCCGCGATCTCGGGGGCCCGCTCAGAGATCTTTGTCGGATCGGACAAGAACCAGTGCCAGGTCAAGCGCGAAGTTGCGCTCAAGGCTGCCAAGAGGTTCTTTGAGAACCGCTTCCAGGACACATAGTTTTTTGTTGACAAGCTGCGCGGCACCATCTCCACTAATTGGCGCCGGCTCGTGGAGATCACTCCACAGGCGGACGACGCGCCGCGGATCCGCTGGGCGGAAGCGAATCTGGCTCTCGAGAATATCTCCCGTGAAGCAATCGAGGAGCCGCTGGCTGTCGCCATCCAGGGAGACAGTCAGACCCAGTGGTCTCTTTAGCACGTTCTTTGCTCTCTGGAGCGGATCTTCCGAGA